AGCAGCTGAGAGCTTAACCACTGTGCAACCAGAATTCCTTAAAAAATATGAAAGTATAAGAAAATGTTCTGTTTTTCTTTCTTACGGAAAACAGTGTTTGTTTTTGAGGTATAGCAACAACTACCGTTTTACTGGGTACAGTTTACCTGCCTACTCATCAACATTAAGCTAATCTGTTTTTTTTTTTTTTTTTCACTTCTAAGCATGATTCCTAGAAATGTGTTTGCATGGCCAAATCAACCAAGCAGAAATCTTTAATTCATTTACCAACGGACATCCTAATGTCTTCCTGGATTTTCTGATGTGCCAAGGCTTTGCTTATCAAATAGGCACTAGGAAGAAAAGGCTCATGTTCATTTAGATGTGCCCGTAGTGTGCATCTGAACACACATAAACGATGATGAGGTCATGGCAGACTGGCAGCCTACGGAGCTCATTATCCACGTGGCAGCTGTTCCCTGGCAGAGAGAGGGGAGTCATGGGAGCCTGGCGTGCTACTGTTCTTTGTCATGCTCTGGGGATTTCTCAGGGAAGTTAGGAATATGTTTCTTAAACTGAAGCGCATGAATAATTGTCAGTATTAAATGAGATCAGCGGTTGAAAACACATCAGCACATTCACCATGAGTTATCCGTGTTAATAGAAGATAAGGATGACTTTAGAAATAGACTCTGTGAATGTCCCCAAAGCCCGGCTTTTAACTAATACCTTTAATCATTTTCCCAGTAATCCTGACTGTTAAGCAGATTGACAGAGAACCCTCCTATCTTTCTATTCCTACACCTCCCTACACCTGATGCATTCGCTAAAGAATAGTGAAGTGCCAGAAACTCAGGACAGTAAGCGAGAGATTGAACAAGCTGTTATCTGAATCATCTGCATAATTGAAAGAGCTGATATTAATGTTCCCCCAGAATACGTTATCTGAGCTTATAAGAACAATAAATTCAAGTGAGGACTCCTGGTGCATACTCTGTTTTCTAATCATTCAATTATGTCTTCCTATTTTCAACTCTGTAAACTGTAGAAATGTATTTTAATTGAACCATTTTAGATTGTCCTGGACAGGCAGGATGCCTAGTGGGCCTAGTGGTTAGGAGCATGAACCATGGAGTGAGGTAGGTGGGCTACCTGTTCTTGCTCTTAATGCTGAGTAGCTGTGTAACCTTGGGCCAGCTGTGTAGCCTAGGTAGCCTCAGCCTCCTGGGTGCCTTGCTCCCCTCATCTGTTAAGTAGAGAGAGCAGGTGCGCCTCTGCCAAAGTATTGCCGTGAAGATGCGCTGAGTTACTACGCACAAGGTATTTAAAACACTGCCTCCATACAAGCAGTCGGGAAACGTTCATTGGAGTTCCTGGGTGTGCAGACGGTTCATGTGCTCAACCAAAAGGTCAGAGGTTCAAGTCCACCCAGAGGCATCTTGGAAGAAAGACCTGGCGATCTTCTGAAAAATCAACCATTTAATACCGTATGGAGCACAGTTCCAGTCTGACATACATTAGTCAGAGTTGACTCAGTGGCACCTGGTGGTAAATGTTCACTACTATTGTTGCTTAAGGAAAGGAAAAGGGCTTGAAGCTGGGGGCTGGTACTGAGTAGATGGCATATATGTGTACTGAGTACTTGCTGTCGACTGAACAGTATGCTGACGAACTAACACAGACCGTTTTCAATCCTTACGAAAACTCTTCATGAAAAATACTGTTATCTGAATTGCACAGATGAGGATATTGAGGCTTCGATAATTTTGAGACTTTCATGTTTATTTTTAAATGTATGCTTAAGTTAATAATTCTTGCTGTTGTTAGGTGCCATCCATGTACAACAGAATGAACCACTGCCCGGTCCTGTGCCATCCTCACAATTGTTGTTAGGCCCGAGCCCGTTGTTACAGCCACTGTGTCAATCCCTCTCATTGGGGTCTTCCTCTTTTTCTCTGACCCTCTACTTTACCAAGCGTGATGTCCTCCTCCAGGCAGTGATCCCTCCTGATAACATGTCCAAAGTATGTGAGACGTAGTTAAGGAGCGTTCTGACTATACGCCTTCCAAGATAGATTTGTTCTTTCTTCTGACAGTCCATGGAATATTCTGTATTTTTTGCCAACACCATAATTCAAAGGCATCAGTTCTTCCGTCTTCCTTGTTCATTGTCCATCTTTCATATGCGTGTGAGACAATTAAAAACACCATGGCTTGGGTCAGATGCACCTTAGCCTTCAAGGTGATATCTTTGCTCTTCAACACTTTAAAGAGATCTTTTGCAGCAGATTTATCCAATGCAATGTGTCGTTTGATTTCTTGACTGCTGCTTCCATGGGTGTTGATTGTGGATCCAAGTAAAATGAAATCCTTGACAACTTCAATCTTTTCTGTGTTTATCAAGATGTTGTTTACTGGTCCAGTTGTGAGGATTTTTGTTAATAAGTGGGAATGTACGCCGTTTCTGTTGAGAATGGAAGAAAAAGGAGAGACCCCAGTGTCACTTATCAGAAATTGCTGCCCCATTCTGTAAATTGAGATTTAGCAAATAGAATAATGCCAAGGCCAGCTTGGAGCCACAGCATCCTTAGTGCAGAAGCTTGTTGGTGACAACCCTTTTATGACAAAAATGCCTTTATAGAAACAGTCAAAGGTAGCTAACTGCAAAAATAATAATAAATGATGAAAAGGCATCCTTATATTTAATATTTACATAAGCTCTTAAAAGGAAAAAAAAAATTTTTTTCTCCATAACAGTAAATCCTTTCCAAGAGAAAAATAAGAAATAGAGCAACTAAGAAAGCATGTGAAGCCAGCCAGCTGTGTACCAATGAGGGAACAGGAGTGTCATATATAAATGCAATCAGTTACAACGCTTTCTGTTTCAGCCTTGGAGGTATAATTGTAATAGAGCTAGAGGGGTTTTTTAGGCCTTGGTGCTTAATAGTGAAAAAGTGTCAGGGCTGTGTGGTATTCTGATTACACAGTCCAGCATACAAAATATCTTTCACATTTACCAATAGTCAACCTTTGAGTTCTGACCTTTTAAAAATTCATTTTGACTAGTGTGTATAAGCCTGCATCTTTTAATTATATATCTTATCTATGTAGCTTATCGATTGTTATGTGTTTTACTACTATTAAGATTTAGAAGGCCATCTCCTCATTTGTAGATTCCACCAGATTTCACAGTGCAAATGAGAACGGTAATGATGTGCTGCCAACAGCTATGTTTTCAGCTTGTGCTGTCTGCCTCCGTTGGGAATATGGAGAGGGACGTTTCTTCTAGGATAAAGGAAATGAATAAGGCAGATGAGTGAAGATTTATTTGATTTATATTGTTTTAGTATTTGGTTTTCCCTTGAGTATAAGAACGTAGCCTCTATGACAACACATACAGTACCCCCTCTCTGGGAGAGGCTGTAGTGTGATTATGTTACCGATAAAGAAATCCTGGCCCTTCTGGATCTCACAGTTAGGGGGGAAACATAAATAATTCAGTGTGTTGTTAAGTACAGTTATAGGGATTTGTGCAGCATTTCATGGGAGCACAGAGGAAAAGCACCAATTTCAGCCTGGAATGCCAAGGAGGTGGCCCCTGAGCTGAGTCTTGGTGATGAGAAGGGATCAGCCAAATAAAAGGGGGAGGAGAAGGACATCCCATACACTACTGATAAAAACCAAAACCAAACCGTTGCTATCAAGTAAATTCCGACTCATAGCAACCCTGTAGGACAGAGTAGAACCGCCCCATAGAGTTTCCAAGGAGCACCTGGTGGATTTGAACTGCCGACCTTTTGGTTAACAGCCGTGGCTCTTAACCAGTGCGCCACCAGGGTTTTCACACTATTGATAGCATGAACAAAAGCATTGGAACCCCCACCTCTAAGCCCCTGGAAAAAATTCCATACCGTCCTACTGGTATTCAAGGCGCCCTCGATAATAATAACTAGCTTTGCCCAAGGGACCAAAATTTTATTCCCAACATGAACTTTCATAACTGATTTTTTTTTTCTCAAAGAAGAACTGTGTATCTTTGAAAATCATTTTACAAAATCCTGTAGTAGAATTCATGTAGCAATAACACTGTCAAAGACAAAGGAGCCTCTGTCCTTTTTCATTAGGATGAATGCTTTCAAGTAAGACTGGAATAAAAATGAAGTGGAACCAATTGGGAAAAAAATAGAAGCACTTAAGAAGAAACTTAATTGTTGCTGAAAGAATTAGAATCTGATGGCTTATGAAGAAGTTAATGAAATTTCAAAGTAGAATAACTATAGTTTAGCATAGCCCTTTCGTCTAGAAAAATAAAATGTCTCTTAGATCTTATCACTTGTTCTGTAGCCTACAAATTAGTAGTGATTAAATTGCCTTATTATTTTTCTCATTTTGATTATTATACTATTATATGCTGCTGCTGATGGGATTATTTGTGCAACATTACTTCTGAGATATTTATTGACCATAAGACTGTGCATATAGAAATGTCCCTGTGAATTATATTTAAGGAGTCCTGGTGGCGCAGTGGTTAAAGTGCTCAGCTGCTAACTGAAAGGTCAGTGGTTTGAAACCACCAGTGGCTCCATGGGAGAAAGATGTGGCAATCTGCTTCCTTAAAGATTTACAGCCTTGGAGACCCTGTGGGGAAGTTCTGCTCTGTCCTATAGGATCTCTATGTGGGTTAGGTTTGGTTAGTTATATTTGGCTGGGAGAAGGGAAGGACCTGACTTAAATTTGATGGATTCCAAAAATCTACTCTCCTTGTATAGCAGGATGCTACTAATGAAAAAGAAAATGTTGATTGAATGCTGTTGTAGAAATGAAAAGTGGCTGGTCGTCTAAGTAACTGCTCATTAAGAAAGGAGTAGGAGAAATGTTTAGAAGAGAGACTTGTAAGAAGCTGACTTTCCATGCATTCACATCATGGAATGAATTAGTGGAAATACTAACCTATGGACCAAAGACATTGGAAGAAGCGATATTTTGCATAAACTTAAAAAAATGTGCATTTTTCCCTACAGCCTCGTCATGTGTTCAACATGCTAAAGAAGTATGTGCGCGCTGAGCAGAAAGACAGACAGCACACCCTAAAGCATTTTGAACATGTGCGCATGGTCGATCCAAAGAAAGCTGCGCAGATCCGGTCCCAGGTAAGTGTTGACTGTAGTAATCATTTGACCATCCCATGCTCTTGCTTGGTGGGTTGGTAATAGGAACTTTGGCTCCTCCCTGAGCTGATGTTGGTGTTGTACATCTACGGCAAGAGCTCTGTAATATCTCAAGATTCTAAAGGTTTGTCTTAGAGCAAGCCTTATGGTTTACCATTTTATGAGCTACGAAAATAATAAGGAATATAAAAATCTTTAGTTTCTACTGCTGCTGATTTCAGGTCCCTTTTAAACAACTGATGACTAAAATGGAGAAAATAAATGTTGTATATAAACTGAAGCCTCTAAAATGGCTCAGTTCAATCATGGTTGACATTCATAAACTTCACTGCTACCACTTAATTTCACGTGAGCCGAAATAATACGGTTTATACTTCCAGATTTCCAAAGGTTGAACACCAGAATTAACCTCTGGAAATTGGAAATTTTACATTTCCTTGAATAGAAATTTCATTTAAAAATACTTAGCATAGAGTGTCCATTTGAATTAAAATTTCATGTTGCAAAATGTTCAGTGAAATAGATTCAGGGTGTCAGGAGTTACATATGGCGCCTCAATATTATGAATTGGAGTTGGGCAGAGATGATCTTTCGGATCAGCTGAGTTACAAGTGTACAATATAATGAGAAGTGTAAAGATAGCCTTAAAGCATAGCTCAGAGTTCCCATGGTATTTCATTAGTATTACTCTGGACGTTTATATCTGTCTGCGGTGCCTGGTAAGGAGAATAACTATTCCTACCCGAGAGTGGGTTTACCTGGAGCTCTCTTCCTGTGCAGGTTATGACACACCTCCGTGTGATTTACGAGCGGATGAACCAGTCTCTCTCCCTGCTATACAATGTACCTGCAGTGGCCGAGGAGATTCAGGATGAAGTTGGTAAGTAAACTGTTCTGTTGATGCTGTTCATGGAAACATATCCATCTCCAAGCTCATCCGTAAAAGTAAATTGGAGAAATCACCAAGGTTCGATAGTTGGGAAGAAAAAGAGTAGCTTCCGTTTCACAGTGAAACTCTTGCAGGCCAGAACTAGCTCTCACTTTAACAGTTCCATCACTTCTTAACTGTTCATGTGTCTAAGGCTGGGAGAAATGGAGCTGGACCTGGGATATATTTGGGAAATAATGAGTCCCTTTGTTATTGGAGTATATTGTCAGCAATTTTTTGCTAATTGGTTCAGTCTTCTAAGTATCACCTTACCATGCTTTGGTACTTTACAATTTAAAAAACAAAAAAACAAAAAACCCTTTTTCCATTTCTTACTGCTCATCATTCTTTGCCTCATAAATGGCATGCTAGCCCCATTTTACAGAAGAAGAAACTCAAAGTCAGAAATTAAGTCACTTACTGGCCTTTGTCACACATATCCTGAGTAGCACAGCCAAAGGACAAAACTGTGACTTCTGACTTCAAAGTTATCATCAGTTAAGTTACAACTCTCTGATAATAGAAAAAAAAAAAAGCCATGAATGTTCCCTGCACCACTCTGTTATTTAGACTTAAGATATGTGCCACTATTTTTTTTTTTTTTTTTGTCTTATTTATGTCAAAAGAACCATAGACTCATAAGAAGTTGCAAAAATAATACAGAGATGTCTGGTATACCCATCAACCACCTTCCTCAATGGTAACGATTTACGTGACTATACAGTACATTATCCAAACCAGGACATTGACATTGTGTGCCCAGTATCTTTTATGTCCCTAATTTTGCTAATGACATCTTTAATATTTCACGTGAGTAAGTTCTCCCAAATCTGTTTTCCTTGGAAAGGGAGCAAGTATCGCATATCATAATCCTTGGTAAGCACCTACATTGTCTGTTTTTCTTTACCTTTACCTCATAAGGGAACATAGATGACAGTTATGCTAACAAGTCTATCAACATAGCAATTATGTAGCCTGGAGATTTGGGTGCAAACATCAGCAAATAAGCATTATGTGCATGGCATATCTCTCTCCATAAAAAATCATGCCCTTTGTTGATTAGGTTGGAAATAGATGCAGGTTACCGTCTAAGCTCAAAACATCCAGGATGCTGATTAAAGGTAAGGTTGCATAGCCAATTAATGTAATTGTTGTCAGTAAGTTATACACATGTGCAAAGTTGAATTAGCAGAAGTTGTTCGATAGATATAACAACTACAGAAGAAAAAAAAAGAGTAGCTGCGTCTGCTTATGTACAACCAAACATCTCATGGGATTTGGTTTTTTGGTTTGGAGGTTTAAGGTCATGGTTTCATGGGGCATCCCAGTTAATTGGCCTAATGTCGTGCTTAGTGTTTCTGTTCTACATCCTAGTTTGTTGTGTAGTTCCTGGGGTCTTAAAAGCTTACAAGCAGCCATCCAGGGTACAACAATTAATTTGTATTCACTTGGAGCAACAGAGGAAAGAGAATCAGGAATAGGTGGAGGATATGGAATGTGTGGCTAATTGCCTCCATGAACAGCTGCGTCCTTTGCCATGAAACCAGAAGAATTGGATGGTGCCTGCCTACCATGACTGAAAATTTTGATCAAGTATTCTATAGAAGAATCCCGATCAAAAAGGAAGAAATGCAGGACAGAATTTCAAATTCTCCTGGAATTTGTATTTTCTGGAGCCATGGCGGTTGGATGAATCCCCAAAACAATTACCCTGAGATAATCGTTAAACCGTGAATATCGCCTGAAGTCTTCTTTAAACCAAACAGTAGTTTAGTTGAACTAGTAAAGAATGTTTGCCTTGAGCACAGTGTTTTTTTAAGATCTATCTGTATGGGATCAAACTGACAATAGCAACTCACAACATCAGGGGACACTGAGTTTATGTTAATGGAGGAGAAGCAACGCAGAAAAGGAGGGTAAAAACGATGGTACAACTCAGAGACTGTAATCAGTGCCGCCAAATTGTACATGTGGAAATTGTTGCATTGGTATATGTTCTGCTCTGCATTTTCTCAACAACAACAAAAATAAAATCAAAAAAATAAATAAGAAACAAATAGCAGCAGACTGAAGAGCTGTAACAGGCTCTGAAATGAGTTCTAAACTCTCTTTTGGTTGAAGACTTACGGAATCTTACTTACCCATTTTAAAATAATAGGATTCGAATATTCAGTAGTTTATATAGTCGAAGCTCCATAGTTTATTTCTAAAACTGAAGACAGATACTATCATTTTCTAGCAATTGGTCTGGAATGCTGATTAGCAGAATTTTAATTTTACTTTAAAAAGAGTTGGTTAAACACATTTTAACAGAGTTCTATTAAATACGTTTAAGAGAGTTCTAAATTCTTCCAGTCTGCTGGCAGGAACTAGAAACTAAAATTCAGATGGAAAATCTTCAGGATTATCAAAGTACTAGAAGTAGGTGGGAGCCCTGGTGGCGCAGTGGTTAAGAGCTTGGCTGCTAACCAAAAAAAGGCAGCAGTTTGAATCCACCAGCTGCTCCTTGGAAACCCTATGGGGCAATTCTGCTCTGTCCTATAGGGTCGCTATGAGTCACAATTGACTGGATGGCAATAGGTTTGGGTTTTGGTTTTTTGATAGATAAGTAAGTGAATTGATGAGTGAACTGTTTTAATTTGGCTTCAATAGTGAATTAAGTCACAGATACCAAAACCAAACCAAACCTGTTGCCATCGAGTCGATTCCGACTTACAGCGACCGTATAGGACAGAGTAGAACTGCCCGATAGGGTTTCCAGGGAGTACCTGGTGGATTTGAACTGCCGACTTTCTGGTTAGCAGCTGTAGCTCTTAACCACTACACCACCAAGGTTTCCAAGTCACAGATAGCACCACAAAATACTGTACCAATGACGGAGTGATTTTGAGGGTCCCCACCCCCCTGCTCTTAAACTGGAACAGTTATGTTCGCTGAAAAGATCTTTCAAAACTAATGAAATGAGATGAACTGCAATGCCCTAGTTCAAATTCAACTTTGAAATTATATATTCTGGTTAATTCTAGAGGCGTAATAAGAATATTTAAAACTTAAAAAACTACTCAGGATGTTGTACACCCATTACAGAAATTCCTCCTTTGAAATACTTGAAACATCAATTAAAAGAGCAATTGGCTCCCTTTTTACAATTCGTGCCAATGCTGTTCTCTTCTTTCTTTTCTAACTTAATACTTCCTTCTAAACGTTGCTGGCATTACTCTCAAGTGTTTGGCCTGCATCAGATAATGATGGTCCCTTCAGTACTGTGGATTAGTGGAAGGAATCAAATATACTTCAGGTTACACACTTGGAAAGAGGCTTTATAATGTGTCATCCAAGTTTTTGTTGGAATCCCTGGGGTGAGAAGGTTAATGTACTCAGCTGCTAACGGAAAGGTTGGAGGTTCAAGTATACCTGAAGTAGCCCAGGAAGAGAGGCCTGGCGATCTACTTCTGAAAATTCATCCGTTGAAAACCCTATAGAACACAGTTCTACTCCGACACACATGGGATTGCCATGAGTCAGAATTGGATTTGCTGTCAAATGGAAGAAGAAAAAAGAAAGCTTTTGTTCAGTAGGGGAACTCAATGTTGAGCAAGATCTTATGAGGATAGTTCACATGATGGATTGAGGACAGGGATTTCCAATTAATTTTTTAGTCTATTAAGTGCCTTTAGGAGATGAATATACTTGTTAGATATACTTGTAGGGTAGAAATTGGTAAGAGACTTGTTAAATACTGTATATTCAGTTCCTCCAATAAGTTGTAGAAAAGACAAAAACAAAGAAATCATTACATTCTTAACTGAAACTAAGATCTTCTAGACAAGTGAATTTTTGCCTTATCTTACAAGCTTTTTAAAATTTTTTTTTATTTTCTTTTGTTAAGAATATACACAGCAAAACATTCTCACCTTCCTTTCCCAAATTGTTCCTCCCTCATTAATATAAAGTCACTGTCCCAAAAGTTTCCTATCTAATCTTTAAAGATGCCGTTGCAATTTGATCCCACGCAGCTATAGTCTTGAAAGAGCGCAATGCTGAAGCAGACTTTCTTTATTAAGGAAGCTAAACTATTGTTTGGTTTAAGAAATGCTGCAAAATGCTCAAAAATACGACAAAACAGTAAACTTTAAATCTGAAGACAGGGAGGATATTTAGATATAAAGAATCATGGAATTTTCTTGTACATCGGAAGCTGTAATCATTAGGATGGATTCAGGGCATGTTTCTTTAAAAGATATTTTTGTCATTCTAAGTATACTAGACACCAAATCCTGAAGCCTAATCTTTTTGAAAAAAATTTTTTTTTGTCATATGGAATTTTGGATCCTTCCGTTTTTAAATGGCTATTTCCAGAGAGAAGGAGAAGTTTGTGTTAATTATTCTGAACTTGCATTAATTAGGCCTGTGTAGACTTTGAGCCTGCTAAAACAGAGCTAGAGAAGATGACTTGCTGGGAGAATGGCTTTTCTGGATTGAGCTTAGATGTCCTCTATAGTCTTTCTTAATTTGAAGGAACATTTAAAAAATAACCCACTTTCAAGTAGGAATGTAGATGAAGCAAAATTGGCTATCAGGGCTTATTGTTGAAGGGGTGAGTATTTGGTGGTTCCCTGTATTGCTTACTTTTGTACATGTTTGAGTTTTCCATAATGGAAGTTGTTGTTTTTTAGCTAATTTTCTAGACAGGATGGAGCTTCACAGATTTCTTCCAGTTTATGTCTTGTATTCTAATAGTCTCTTATGAAATGCTTTGTTTTTAGTCTGATTTGCGTTTATCTGCCATTTCTGTATATAATCAAACTTTAGATTTGGAGGGAGTTCAACGCAAGTAAGAATGGCACTAAAATCCAGAGACACTGGAAAAAGGACAAAATCTGAGCATACCTGCAAACACATGCCTTTTGTATAAAAGTTTGTGCTTATAAACGTAGACAATTAGGATATGT